CCCCCCCCCCCCCCAGGTGCCTGGAGGCTTGGGGAGGACCCAAGAGGTTTTCCTTAGATACTTGCTGCTTGGGTGAGGACTACCCCACGCTGCCAAGGAGGTGGGAGGTGGTAGCTGGTAGGGAGGAGGAACATACAGCGCTTTAACAAAGGAGGGTCCACACCCTCCAAACTCTTTCAGGATTTCAGGTTAGTACCGAGGTAGGGTTTCACACTTCTGCGAGGTTCTCCCTGCCCGAGAAGGCATGGGGGCAGTGAGGCAGGTCTGTTGGCCTGGGCTACCCCCAGGGACTTGGCATTTGTCAGGCATGTAGTGGCCAAGGGTCTCTGGGAACCTGGACAGAATTGCTGGGATGATTCTGTTGCCTTTTGTTCCCAATGGGTCGTGTGCCTGCCCGCCACTGTTCCTCAGCCAAGTCGGTGTTTGTTTGTGTGTTTCAGTCACACTTGGGGATTGGAAGGCCTTTTAAACAAGGGTGGTGATAATTCTCTGTTGACCAAGAGCAACGCTTAAGAGGTAGAGTTTTTCATTTTACTGGTGGAGCGTGGAGGCACAGAGAGATTCAGTGACTTTCTCCAGGTCACGCAGGACCAAGGTTGGAACCTAGATCGCCCCAGAGCCTCTTTTTGAACCAGATCACGGCATCTCTGTGGTGGTCTTCCTTCCCAGGAAGATGAATTCAACCCGTCAGGGGACCTGGGTTTGAACTGTAGCTTTATCACTCATTACCTCTGGGTTGAGTGACATCTTGTTGAGCTTCTGTTTCTTCATCTGTAAAATGGAGACGATGATATCTATCCTACCTCCCAAGCTAGTTGAGAGAAATAATTAAAAGTAAAAGGGATTGGGGTGCCTGGCCGGCTCAGTTGGTGGAGCATGTGACTCTTGATCACAGAGTCGTAAGTTCGAGCCCCGTGTTGAGGGTAGAAATTACTTTAAAAATTAAAAAAAAAAAAAAAAAAAAAAAAAAAAAAAAAAGGGAAAAGGATTTGTAGTTTGCAAAAGTGTGCTAAATTATCATCATCATCTTTGCTTTTATAGATTAAAGGTGGTAGATCCTGCAACCAAGGTGACAGACTCTTTTTCTCTTTGAAATCCTCTCACTGTTGTTACCTTTCCAAGTCTCTGCCCACACTTGGAGCCCCGTATCTCCAAATGTCTTTCCCAGTAGTGATGGCCTCAGTAACTGCTGCCGTAGCTCCTTATGAGCTTGTCATGATTCCCTTTATCCAGAGAATGATATGGGAAACTTAAGGGCTTTCTCCTTGTTGCACAGGGGCAAACTAAATGTAAGGATTTGGGGAGAGAGGGACTTCTGAGGTAAGAGAATGCATTGAGAGTTTACCTCAGATATTGCCCCAATCATCTTGGCCTTGGGTCCAATGAGGGTCTCAGGTAGGCCACTTAAAACTTCAGTGCCACTTGTGGACCACTCCCAGAGCTTCCAGTGTTTCTGCTTAGAAATGTATTAGCCAGTGCATCCTCAAAGCTGCCTTTTCCAGAGAAAGCCCTTTATACTGTAGTTTGAAGTCTTTAGACTGTACATAGTAGACATTTCAGGTGCCTTCACCTCTTCACTCCTGGGTGTGGTTAGGGGATAGGGCTTCTGATCATTGTAAGATGGATTGGGGGAGGGCTTTAGACCTGTGAGCTTTTGATCCTCTGGTGGGGCCACTGTTCATGTACACAGCTTAAAAGTGGATGCTCTTTTTGTTTTCTTCTTTTCTGAACCCTTAACCACCCCATCCTTTTCCATAGGTAGGTATCCCACAGCCTTATGTAGGACATCATTAGAATTTTAGATCTCTCCCTGTGTTGTTTTGTAATGATCTGTAATGATCATTTATAATGATTTGCTTTTCTTTTTTTCTTTTTTTAAAGTTTTTTTTTAACATTTATTTATTTTTGAGAGACAGACAAATCATGAGTGGGAGAGGGGCAGAGAGAGAGGGAGACACAGAATTCAAAGCAGGCTCTAGGCTCTGAGCTGTCAGCACAGAGCCTGACACAGGGCTCGAACCCACGAACTGTGAGATCATGACCTGAGTCGAAGTCGGATGCTTAACCGGCTGAGCCACCCAGGCGCCCCAAGATCTGTTTACTTTTCTGTCCTTTCAATTAGATGGAGCACCTAGAGGCAGGGACCATGCAGCTTTGATTTCTCCTTTTATTCAACTAATATTTATTGAGTGCTTATTAAGGAGCAGGTATCATTCCAGGTGCTGGGAATACAGCGGTGAACAAAATAGACAAAAATCTTCCCCTCATGGAGCTTGCATTCTAACAGAAGGAAGCAAACATTTATGATAAATAGGCACATTACATAGCATGATAAAAAATGGTGAGTGTCATAGTGAAAAATAAAGCAAAATGAAAGATTGTTGATGGGGGAAAGAGATTTGCAGTTTAAGATAGAATGGTCAGGGAGGGTCTCATTGAGAAGCAGTGTTTGTGAAAGAAGTTGAAGCGAAGGAGCAAGCTGTGTGGATGATGTCTGAGGGGCAGGATGTTCAGGCAGAGGGAACAGTCTTCGTGGTGCCCATTCGATCAGATGGAAGGGTGAATGAGTGCATGCCTGAACATTCAACTCAGTTTCCTGGTTTCTCCTTAGGCCTGTCCCCTTGGTTCCCAGGTGCCATGAGGAAGCCGCGCCGGAAGTCGCGGCAGAATGCCGAGGGTCGGCGCTCCCCATCTCCCTACAGTCTGAAGTGCTCACCTACTCGGGAGACCCTGACATATGCTCAGGCCCAAAGGATTGTCGAGGTGGACATCGATGGACGCCTGCATCGAATCAGCATCTATGATCCACTCAAGATCATCACAGAGGACGAGCTGACTGCCCAGGATATCACCGAATGCAATAGTAACAAGGAGAACAGTGAGCAGCCTCAGTTTCCTGGCAAGTCCAAAAAACCCTCCTCCAAGGGCAAGAAGAAGGAGTCCTGTTCCAAGCATGCATCCGGCACTTCCTTCCACCTCCCGCAACCCAGCTTTCGCATGGTGGACTCAGGCAGCCAGCCAGAAGCACCCCCACTGCCTGCTGCCTACTACCGCTACATCGAGAAGCCACCTGAAGACCTGGATGCGGAGGTAGAATACGACATGGATGAGGAGGACCTTGCCTGGCTGGACATGGTGAATGAGAAGCGGCGAGTAGATGGGCACAGTTTGGTGTCAGCAGACACTTTTGAGTTGCTGGTAGACCGGCTTGAGAAGGAGTCATACTTGGAGAGTCGCAGCAGTGGGGCCCAGCAGTCACTCATTGATGAAGACGCCTTTTGCTGTGTGTGCCTGGATGACGAATGCCACAACAGCAATGTCATTCTCTTCTGTGATATCTGCAACCTGGCTGTACACCAGGAGTGCTACGGTGTCCCCTACATCCCTGAGGGCCAGTGGCTATGCCGCTGCTGCCTACAGTCTCCCTCCCGACCTGTGGACTGCGTCCTCTGCCCCAATAAGGGCGGCGCCTTCAAACAGACCAGTGATGGGCACTGGGCCCACGTGGTGTGTGCCATCTGGATCCCTGAAGTCTGCTTCGCTAACACCGTGTTCCTAGAGCCCATTGAGGGCATTGACAACATCCCACCTGCCCGCTGGAAACTAACCTGTTATATCTGCAAGCAGAAGGGGCTGGGTGCAGCCATCCAGTGCCATAAGGTGAACTGCTACACAGCCTTCCATGTGACATGTGCACAGCGGGCTGGGCTCTTCATGAAGATTGAGCCCATGCGTGAGACCAGCCTCAATGGCACCATCTTCACAGTACGCAAGACCGCCTACTGTGAGGCCCACTCGCCGCCAGGTGCTGCCACTGCTAGGAGGAAGGGTGACTCCCCTGGAAGCCTCAGTGAGGCTGGGGATGAGGAAGGCCTGAAGGAGGGCTGTGGAGAGGAGGAAGAGAAGGAAGAGGTAGAAGAAGAAGAGGAGGAAGATGAAGGCCAAGGCGGGGTAGGTGGCCCCCTCAAGGGAGTGCCCAAGAAGAACAAGATGACTTTGAAGCAGAAAATCAAGAAGGAGCCAGAGGAAATGGGCCGAGATACACCCTCCACTGTCCCCATGGTCACTGTCCCACAGATCCCCTCATATAGGTAAGCTTGGTCAGGAGGTCTCCACATGGACCAATGGTTTCTGGTTGGGCTGGTGCTGGCCCTGAGCCAGGACCTCCTTCCCCAAGCATGGTTGGTGAACATTTGTTCTCTTCTGTGCCCTCAAATTTAGACTTCTCCTTTGGTCCCTGGTCTGGTTTGTGGTTTTGATTGTGCCCTGACAGCAGTGTGTTTCCTTGGCTTCAAGGTGAGACAAAATTAAGTTGCTTAGAAACCCAGGTGAAGGATGTCTAAGGCAGCATTTTTCAACACGTGCACAAGTGGCATTTTGGATGGGATGATTGTTTATCATTAGGACTGTCCCATACATTTCTTGATGTTTAGCATCCCTGATCTGTAAGTGCCATTTGTATCCACTCCCTCATTGCCTGGTCTTTGTGACAGTCTCATATGTTTCCAAAAACCCCTGGGGGGATAGAACTGAGAACCACTGTTTTAAGGGGTCAGTATGGGTGCCTGCTATCTAGAAGGCTCTATTCTGAGAATGATGGAGACTTTTTGTGAAGGGGTGGTGGTGTGGGGAAGATATGCTATTTCTCTTCTTGAGAAGCTTTAGATTTAGGGGGAAAAGGATCACTCAGCTCAACTGTATGTCTAAGCCACCTTGGCCCCTAGTGAGTCTGTAGAGACATCATTGTATCTATTTTAAACCATTAGAGAAGTAGCTGTTAGAGGGCAGAAAAGCCAGAGACAGGAAAGATTTTTCATTGGAAGGTCATCTCAAGGGTGATATTCTTTGCAAAGTATACAGTGTTAGAGTAGGAAGGAATCTTGAAGATTATTTAATCTAATGTAGTCCTTGCACCTTCTCCCACACCCCCAGATGAAGAAACTGCGGCAACAGGAGGTAAAGTTGTTCACTCCTTTATTCATTCAACGAGATGTTTATTGAGCACTTACTATATGCCAAGTCCTGTTCAAAGGGCTGGAACCAGGTGGAAAGCAACAGAACCTGACCACGAGCTGGAACTCATGATGCCTCCAGGCTCTGTTCCTGCTGTTTGTCTCTCTTGTTGAAAAGGATAGGGAGAAAAGAGTGCTAGAGGGTAGTGGGGAATGAGTTGTGTAAGGAACGGGCAAACAGACTTGTCAGTCTGGGAAGGAGACATAAGAGCGGAGCAGAGCAGGAGGGAGAGGCTCTTGTGAGCCATGACTGGAGTTAGAATTCAGTCAACTGGAAATGCCTTCTAGTCACAGAGCTGTTGTAGGCTACCCTCTTCCCTGATGTTGACTGGAGTTCACGCTTAGTAACATCTGTAGGGTGGCTGTGCCCTGGGACTAGACTTTTTGGTTGTCATATCTGCTCTTATAGATGTGTCTTGCAGAGGCCTTAGCATGCTGGCTAAGAAACCAGACAGACCTGCTTTTGAATCTTGCTCCTGTCACTAACTACCCATGTGAACTTTGGCAAGTTACTTCTTCAAGTCTTGTTTATTTGTTAATGAACCTGATAGAGTTGTTGTGAGAATGAAATGAGATAATATAAGTAAAGCACTTAGCACAGTGCCTGGTAAATAGTAAGTGCTCAATAAATGGTGGCTACTGCTGCTGCTGCTGCTATTTTATTATTATTCTTTTTTCTACCTGCACAAATGCTGTTGGGACCCTCCATAGCCAAGAGGTTGTAGAGGGAGGGGGCTGCCTGCATCTGGGCAGGTGTGCTTGGCATGGGCATTGGTGGGGAATCTGTTCTTTGGGGAAAGGCCTAGGTCTTGGTTTTTTAAGCTTGGCTTTGGGGCAGGAATGTCTGACCTTGGATAGGCACAAGGCCTAGGTGATCAATGTCCAGCCCAACATGCCCACCCTTGTTAGGTTTTACTTTCTTGTTTAGCCACACTTAACCTTCCTTTCAGTGCAGCGAGATGAGGAAGTGGGAGAAACATAGCAGGGGCACTGAGGCCTTGCTTACTGTGTGAATAACCAATTTTAGGACACAGGATGGTGTAGCAGAGGGATCATTGATTCAAATCCCATCCAGGGCCACCATTGTTTATTTATTTTTTATTTTTTTATTTATTTTTAATGTTTGTTTATTTTTGAGAGACTGAGCGTGAGTGGAGGAGGGGCAGAAAGAGAAGGAGACACAGAATCTTAAGCAGGCTCCAGGCTCCAAGCTGTCAGCACAGAGCCCAATGCGGGGCTTGAGCCCACAAACTGCAAGACCATGACCTGAGCCAGAGTCAGACCCTTAACCGCCTGAGCCACCCAGGCGCACTGCGCCACCATATTTTTAGCTGCATTAGTGACTTTGATAGTTTATTCAGCCTCTCTTCCTAAGCTGCCTTTCCATCTTTTGTTACCACGAGAATAATGTTACCCACTTCGCAACAGGGCTGTTAACATAAAGATTATAGGTTTATTAATTCCTTTCCCTTTCACTTACCCCTCCATCGTCCCCACGTATTATTGGCTTAAATCCTTACTTTAAGATTTCTCTGTTGGGTTAGTTTAGCCAGCTAAGTTTTCAGATTCTCCATCCTCTTACCCAGTTTTTATTTTTTTTTTCATTTGGTTCAAAATTAGACATTTTTAGGCTGCTGAGATCTTTAATTAAAAACCAGGGGTCAGACAACTCCAAAGTGTTGCGTTTGAGCTCAGAAAGCAGTAGCCTGGTGTAGTTCTACTAGTTTTCCTTCCAGCTTGGCTATCGACTATTCCCTGGTCTGGGGAGACCCTCAGCCACAGGGTGGCTGGAAACAGTGACCACATTGCCTATAGCTTACTCAAGTTCCTGCCTTCTTTTGCTGCTTTTATCAAGAGAAGTGTAGGGGTATGGGGGCACAGACCTGTTTCTTAGGATTGTAGGAAACAGGGTTCCTGGGAGAGGGTTCTTTTGGAGAATCAGGACTGCAAGGTAGGAAGTAGAAAATCAGGCGATATATCTCACGCTGAATCTGAGCTGCTTAACTTTGCTGTCTTTTTTAAGCCTTTCTCTGAGGTTAGGCATTTGACCACTTTATCCTATATTCTTTTATATATAAGGTTCAGAAATGAACCAGGGTCTGAATAGGAAGCTATAATCAGGGCTGCCCACTGACCTTGTCTTTCACTTCCCTGTGCCTCCACTCAAGGTTGAACAAGATCTGTAGTGGTCTCTCCTTTCAGAGGAAAAACCAGTTCATACAGCGGCTTCACAACTACTGGCTATTGAAGCGGCAGGCACGGAACGGTGTCCCCCTCATCCGGCGCCTGCATTCCCACCTGCAGTCCCAAAGAAACGCCGAGCAGGTAGGTGAAGTGATTGAAGATGATGGAGGAGGTGGAGGGTGAAGGAGAAGAAATGATGGTTGGGGTAACCCCTCCCTGAGCCCTCTGCAGAGCCTTTACCTGTAGGCGGTCACCCCTCCAGGAGGCATAGCCCAGGAATGACCTCCAACACTGTAGAGTCTTTGGGACCAGACAGCAGCTCCTTCTGGATGGGAGAGGCTTGACTTTGAAGCGTATTCTAGGGGAGAATGGAGAATAAGCCCAACTTTCCATTATGTGGGGAAAACCTTGCAGACATGGCAGAAAGGAAGGAATGGGCTGAATGAGAGCCAGGTGGCCATGTTGCATGAATTAGGACAAGGAGCACTTTCCTTAACACACTATACTGACATCTGCCAAAAATGTTTCATAGAAAACACACAAATGTGCCATCTCAGTTGTAGCACACAGCCTGGCCAATTGTGGCATTTTAGCCACGGAGTTGCTGCATGTTTACTGTTTTCTGAGATGGTGGAAGCCTCGTGAGAGGTTTTTTTTTTTAATTTTTTTTTATTTTTTACTATTTACTTCTTTTTCCCTCTTCACTTGCTCCATTACTTCTGCCTTTAAATATTTCCACACCACTACCCCAGAGATGAAGCAATCTTTTACGTGACTCTGGTGCCCTCTGGGTTCTATCTGATTTCACTTTTGCCTTTTGTAACTAAAATCCTGAAGTGCAAGTCTGCATCTCGTCCTTCCTTGAAATGGTCCACCTGCTCCCCTGTAGCTTCTCCTAGAACATCAGCCACCTCCTCCCAGCCTAGCAAGCCTTACCTCAGATTCTCATTGTATTGTCCATTGGACTACATTTGTCACCATGGATCACCTTGTCTTAGAGCTTCTCTGTCACACCCTTTTGCTCCTCCTCCACCCTTTGACTGCAATATTAACATTCCCAGGGACTGTGCTGCCTGCCCATTGGCTTGGAGAGCTGTACACTCTCATAGTTGTAAATAAGTGTGGCAGGTTTCTTTTCTTGTCCTCATCCCTTTTTTCTGCCCTCAGTCCTGGGGCAGAGAAACCATAGATGTTCTTGTAGATGTTGTTTCCTAGAATTCATATATTGGAAACTGAATTCATTATTCTTCTCTCATAAATGTATTTCCCTAATATTGACATGGAACCTTCTTTCTCCTGACCTCAGACATTTCCCCACCTTGGAGTTACTTTTGATTCTTCCCTCCATGACAAGCCACAGTTAATCATCCCTTATGCTACTTTGGAGGAGTTTATCAGTATCTGATCCTTTGTCTCTGTTCTACAGCTCCCCTGCTCACCCATGCCCCCTTAATTTCAGCAGTAGCTTTCTAGTTGGTCTCCCACCTCTGATTCTTTGCTGTACTACTGATACTGTCTCATTCACATACCATTTTCCATCTTGTCACTTCCATTTCCAGAATATATTCCCCCTCTCCAGGCAGGCCACATCCAGGATCCTTTGCATGGAGTTTGAGCCTTCTTATGAGCTGAATCCTGGATCTTGCTTAACTTTTATGGTTATCCAGCTTTTCTGCTCTGGCCAGGCCATTTTTTTTCACCAGGCAAAAAATCACTAATTCTGCTTCTTCCAACACTTCTTCTCTGTGGTCCCTTTGGTTCCTTACTGCTTTGTTCATCCGTGTCCATCACTACCGTAAACCCCTAGTGAGAGTGCTTTCACCGGAAGCCTTCCCAGACCTAACCCCAACCCACTCAGATCCTTTCTATTTTACATTCTCTTAACATTTTGTATTCAGTTTATCTGTTGAGTTTTTATTATTTGTCTTTATGCTACTGTGCCCTTATGTGTCAAACCCTAGGCCTCTGCCTTCCCCCAACTATACTGTAACCTCTTTTAGGGCAGGAATCATCTTTTTTGGTGCTGGTGGTATTTTAAAATATGGTCAAGTCAGTTAGTATAGGCTGGTAGTAAGAACTTCACTTTGTTTTCTAGCCAAGTCGAAGCTGTAGGGTGAAATTCTTTCCACCTTGAGGTGTCTTATTAGTTTTCCTTCTGAAATTCTTTCTATCCCTGAGAGGCACAGCTGCCCCCTGGTATCCTCAGGGGTAGAGGAAGCAGTCACATATCTCACTCCAGCAGTGAAGGTTATTGTGGGGCAATGCAAGAAACATTGCTGCGAGGCTGGGGGAGCAGAGGAAGAGGGCATGGGTGGAGAGGGAGGGGTGGAAGGGCTCTCGGGAGTATGGGTCAGCAAGGGTCAAGGGCTGTCACCTGCTGAGGCCCTGTGAGACTTGAACAGGGAGGGCACTCTGGGTAAAAGGGAGGCCCCCAGCTCCTCCTTCCTTTCCTGTCCTTCTTGCAGCGAGAGCAGGATGAGAAGACCAGTGCAGTGAAGGAAGAGCTGAAATACTGGCAGAAGCTCCGGCATGACTTGGAGCGGGCGCGGCTGCTGATTGAGCTGATTCGGAAAAGAGAGAAGCTCAAGCGAGAACAGGTGAGGAAGAGCCCCCAGCTCCAGGGTTCTTGTTCAGAATCTTTTTCTCCCGCTCTCAGTGTGGCATCAGAAGAGCCAGGAGCCTCTGCCTGGTGTCACCTTTCTCGCCTTCCTGCCCTCCAAAGCCTGCCTACTCTACTGGTATGGTGCTGCACATGGCTTCTAACTATGGGGATTCAGCTTCTGGTGGCCTCAAGCATAAGCTATTATCATATGCTTGAGCCCATCCCTGGAGTTTCTGACCAAAAAAATCTCAGGAGTCTGGCCTTGAGTATTTTGAAAAGCTTCTCAGCCCATTCTGATGGGCATTGCGGCTGGCCTGGGAGCTTCTGAGAGTTTTCACTTGGCCCTTATGGTCTTGAATCATTCAAATATTCCAACCTCGGGCACCTGGGTGGCTCAGTCGGTTAAGCATCTGACTTCAGCTCAGGTCATGATCTCACGGTTCATGGGTTCGAGCCCCATGTCGGGCTCTGTGCTGACAACTCAGAGTATGGAACCTGCTTCAGATTCTGTATCTCTATCTGTCTCTGCCCCTCCCCCACTTGTGTGCACACACTCTGTCTCTCTCCCTCTCTCCCTCCCCCTCCCCAAAATAAATAAACATTTAAAAAAAGTAAAAACAAATTGCCAGCTTTGACTCAAGGAGATTCTAAGCCTCTAAGCATGGGCAACGTTGAGGTAGTAGTGTAACAGGGGTTGGGAATATGAACTGTGGCACCAGACTACCTGGTTTTATATCTGGTTCTGTCATTTAGTGTTTATGTGACATTGGGTAAATTGCTAAACTCTTTATACCTCAGTTTCCTTGATTGTAAAATGGGGTTAATAATAGAACCTACACCGGAAGGTTGTGAAAATTAGATGACTTACTATATATAAAGAGCTTAGAACAGTGCCTGGCATGCAATGGGAGCTATAGAAGTGTCAGCTGTCAGCACCACCATTATCGATAGTCTGTCTCCCTGAAGTGTCTGTCTACTGCAGCATTCTGCACAGGGCAGAGAGTAAATACTATTAATTGAATCAGTGACAAGCCAAAACCATTCTCTCCAGTCTAGGAGTAGCAGCTGTTCCTTGCATGCTTCAGAGGCCTGGGTTAAAGATGTTCCTTTCTTTCTCCAAATCCTACTTCACTATTCAGCCCCAGCACGAGCCCTTCTCTCTGTAGACCTGTAGTCTGAGTTTCCATCTCTGAGACTGGGCAGCTCTTGCCATACATAGTGTGTGTGGGTGGCATAGAGGACATCTCAGGACCTTCTGTATGGATTCAGACTGTCTGTGCTATCCCAGTCTTGGTCGCACAGCTGAGCTTTTCTTCTTGCCTCTGGTTCAGAGAGATAAAAGGGGAAAGGAAGCAGTCAGGCCTATTTTGATGTCACTAAGAAGAAGAAACATTTCATAATCTAATCTGTGGCTTCCCAACCTTTTAGCATTAGGGCATACATAGAAAATAACATTTGTGCAATGTACTACTGTCACTGTATATATGTGAGGCTTCTTGCTGCCTGAGGAGGTGAGCCTAGAGGCCTTAGTTATCCCAAGATGGCCTCAAGGCCAATGGGATCAATAGCTTAGCATACTAAGTGGGAATGCTGGCCCGAGTCACATTTTAAATCATCAGTGTGCTCTTTGGACTAAGACAAAGCTAGGTTCAAGTCCTGTCTCATTGGGTTAGTGACTCCTCATTATACTTCCAAATCTCAGATTCCAGATTTGTAAAATGAGGATAATAATTTCTCCCTCAGGATTATTGTGATGATTAATCAAAGTAACATAAGTAGAGAAGCAGTGTGGCATAGTAGTCAAGAGCACACACTGTGGAATGAGGCTGAGACTAAATCCCTATTCTGCTCATTACTGGCTATGTGGCCTTGGGCCGGTCAGTCTCTCTGTGCCTCCGTTTTCTCCATGTAAAACACCTCATCTGTACCTACCTGATATAGTTGTTAATGTTCCATAAAATGGTTAGAATGTTACTTGGCATTTAGGAAGGACTATGAAAGCGTTAACTGTTATTGTAAGTTTTGGTACGGTGCTCGATATGTAGGGAACATTCACACAGCAGTAGCTGTTGGTCATTATTTCTAGGCTGAAAGTTGGGTGATCTCTCCTCATATACCGGTCAGCTTAATATCCTGTGAAAATTTGTTGTACGTGATTGGTAAAAGTAATCAAGAAAAAGTTTGGTGCCTCTTCGCAGAGGGTGTCCTGATCTCTTTCCACCTTCTGCACAGGTCAAAGTCCAGCAGGCCGCGATGGAGCTGGAGCTTATGCCATTCAATGTTCTGCTGAGAACCACACTGGACTTGCTGCAGGAGAAGGATCCGGCACACATCTTTGCCGAACCTGTCAACCTGAGTGAGGCAAGTTCCCCCACCACTTCCTGAGCAGTGAGCCCCTCCTGGACTGGAAACAGGGTCTGAGTAGGATAGGAAGGGGTCAGGCCACAGGGTGTATGACACCTGGGGGTTTCTGGCAAAGCTAGTAGACTTGCCCATGGTGAGGAGTTAGCAGGCCAGGGTGGGCCGGGGCCCTGGGGCTCTGACTGTGCAGCGTGCCAAACCAGAAAATGGGGAGGCAAGAGTGCTGGTGAAGGGTGCACCTGTTTGGCTAGTAAATGGTTGTTGTAATTGTACAGGTTTTATATGTTTAGGTTCCAGATTACCTGGAATTCATATCCAAGCCAATGGATTTTTCTACCATGAGGCGGAAGCTGGAGTCCCACCTGTACCGCACCTTGGAGGAGTTTGAGGAGGACTTTAACCTTATAGTTACCAACTGCATGAAGTATAATGCTAAAGACACAATTTTCCACCGAGCAGCTGTCCGCCTGCGGGACCTGGGAGGGGCCATCCTGCGGCATGCCCGGCGGCAGGCAGAGAACATCGGCTATGACCCCGAGAGGGGCACCCACTTGCCTGAGTCACCCAAATTGGAGGACTTTTACCGCTTCTCCTGGGAAGACGGTGAGAAGCCTTGGATGGGTGGGGAGGAGAGGGACCAAGAGGAGGCACAGGGATGGAGCCCAGAGAGCCAGGGATCAGGGTGGGCCTTGGAGCTATTTAGGGTAGACACGAGGAGAGCTGAGGGTAGGCCCAGACTGGGATATTCCTGCTTGTGGCTTGCAATAGTTCTAGGAGCTAAAGTTTAACGAATTCACTATTTCTTGAATGGTAGGAAAAGGAATCAGGTACTGGCTGTCTGTTTGAAAACTTAAATCCTTACCAGGGGTCTTCCTCTTCTGGATGCCCTCTATACAGCGTCCAGAGCATGGGGCAGGGAGAGTGCAGTGCTAGTGTATGTCTGGCTCATTCAGAAGAGTGCAAGTAGAGGACCAGAAAAATGGAATTGCCTCTGAGCCCCACACTCTGCCTGCCCCTGCTCTCTGCTTCTCGATGGCAGTAGCCAGTCACTCAGGCCCAGGAGATTGCCAAGCTGCCTCGTGCCTACTCCACAGAGCCTGTAATCATGACTGTGAACAGCTTCCTGCAGATGTTTCCCAGATTCTGACCTTGTCCCTGTGGCTGCCCTCCGGGCAACGGTGTTACCAGGGCCAGGGCCCCACAGTGACGCTGCTGGAAGCCACTGGCCCAGGCATTCCAGGAGAATATTTTGCATCCAAAGGATTCAGCCCCTTCCCCTTGCCCTGGGCTGGGCAGATCCTTCAGCCCTTCTGTCCTCCCTTCTCCCTGGCAGTGGACAACATCCTCATCCCAGAGAACCGGGCCCACTTGTCCCCGGAGGTGCAGCTGAAGGAGCTGCTGGAGAAATTGGACCTGGTGAGCGCCATGCGGTCCAGCGGGGCCCGGACCCGTCGCGTCCGCCTGCTGCGCAGGGAGATCAATGCCCTTCGGCAGAAGCTGGCACAGCCACCGCCACCACAGCCACCATCACTGAACAAGACTGTGTCCAATGGGGAGCTGCCAGCAGGGCCCCAGGGGGATGTGGCTGTGCTGGAGCAGGCCCCACAGGAGGAGCCAGAAGATGATGGGGACAGAGGTGAGACAATCAGGGGCAGACAGGGGGTTGGAGGCCAAACTAAGGGAGTAAGGGTTAAGCTAAAATCTCAAGGATGGTGCAAGCGTCCTTTCCTGAGTTTAGGTCATACCCTTGTGGGCAAGCAAAAATCCTTGGAGAGGTCATGCTTCCATGTATATCCAGGGATGATATTCAAAATATTTAATAATCAATAGAGACCAAAATTCATCAGAGTAGATGTTGGCTGTTGTATTGGAGTCGGTTCTGGGGACCACTGATGGGGATATTTAGTTGCTAGATTGTGGACAGGTTTGGGGAGTTTTAGAGGCTGGGGCCCAGCAGCTCTGTACTAACTAATAAAGAAGTATTACAGTATTTTGTACCTGATAATGGCTATATTGCACATATGAGTTAAATATTTGCTCATCTACCATCATGTAGATAGGCTTTTTTAGAGCAGGTTAGGTTGTGGTGTGGGAAGACAGAAAAGGAAGAAAGACCCTAAAGACGGTCTGGCTTCTTGAACTACCTCATGGCTTTGACCCCAGCTGGCCAAGTCTACAGGCCCATCCTAAGCAGAAAAGTCAGATTGCAAGAGACATCTGGGGAAGTGATTCTCAGAGACCCAGCCTTAAAACTGAGCTGCTTTCCATCCTCCCCACTTCGTTGGGGACAGAATTGTCTCCCTTAATACAGGTCCTCAGAGCTGAGCCTACAGCTTGGGGAGGGTCTGTCATCCACACAGTCTAGACGGGTTCGGAGTTATCTCCAGAGGGTAGTTCTCTCCAGGGCCCAAACTGCAAGGAATGGCCCATTTTATTTTAGGTTGGCTGAGAATAAGGACGTGGCTGGGAGGTCACATTTGGCAGTGACTTCCTGATTCCCTGTGTGGCAACCAGCATGCCACTTGTATCCCACTCCTGGGCTGTGGCCGTGCAGAGTCCTGCCCACTGACCAGCTACAACAGCTTCTTCCAGAGGGTTTCAAAACAAAATTCCCAGGCCTTACATCCCAGAGATTCAGATTAAGGAAGTCTGGGCTGTGGCTTGGGAATTCTAATTTTTAAAAGTTTCAAGATAGTAAGTGAACAGACATGTTTGGGAGCCACTGATTTAACTTACTTGCTCTCACTTTTTCACATTTATAAACTTACTCTTTCTGCTTGTCCTCCTTGCTTCACTTGGGTGATAGGAAACAGAACACATTGACAGAAGGGAAAACACTTGAGTCTAATGAGAGCTGTACACCTCTAATCTGTGAAGCTGAGACTTAACTGATTATTGATTAAGCCAGGTAGCTTTCAGCTTTCTCAGGTGTGGAGTAATGTTTTGTAATTCTCACTTCATCAGATTCACCTGGTAAAGCTTTTTTAAAAAATACCCCATCATTAGAGACTTAGTTTCAGTTGGTCTTGGATCGGACCTTGACGCTGAAATTTTTAAGAAACTTCCTAGATGATTCTCATACTTAGGGTTTAGAATTACTAATGTAGATAAAACTTAATCCTACATTCTTTTTGTCTCAGATGGGAGACCTGGGATACATGTCAAGAACCAATGCCTTTGGTTCTTGCTTATCAGAGTCATTATCTGGCTTGTAGGGGCAGACCTTTTCTAAAATGTTCAAGCAGGTTCTCTTTTTCTCTAACAGATGACTCCATACTGCCTCCCCCACCAACCCTCGAGCCCACTGGGCCTGCACCTTCCCTGTCTGAGCAAGACTCCCCTCCGGATCCCCCTACTCTGAAACCCATTAATGATAGTAAGCCTCCAAGCCGATTCCTAAAGCCCAGAAAGGTGGAAGAAGATGAGCTCTTGGAAAAATCACCTCTGCAGATAGGGAGTGAGCCCCTGCAACGCCTGCTCAGTGACAATGGCATCAACAGAGTGTCTCTCATGCCCCCTGAGACCCCTGCTGGTGCCCCACTCAGTGGCGTGGGCCGCCGCACATCCGTCCTCTTCAAGAAGGCCAAAAATGGAGTTAAGCTACAGAGGAGCCCAGATAGGGCCCCAGAGAATGGTGAGGACCATGGTACAGTGGGCTCTCCTGCCTCTCCGGCCAGCATCGAGGATGAACGGCACTCCCGGAAGCGGCCAAGGAGCAGGAGCTGTAGTGAGAGCGAAGGGGAGAGGTCCCCCCAGCAGGAGGAGGAGACAGGTGACCACGCCTGTGACTTCTCTACTTCTCATCTGCTTTCCTGCTTTGCCTTGCCAGCCAGCACCTCCCCTAGTTGGCTGCCTCCCTAATGGTCCCTGTGGACGCCAGTAGAACCATTGAGGGATCCATAGCTTGTAGTTGTGCCTGGCACATGAGTAGTGGCCTGGAGAAGAGGCTTTGAGAAAGTAATTTGAGAGGGCCACATTGTGTCTGGGCTTTCTTTGGCCTTGAAGGGAATGCAAAGCTATATATGATAAAGTGGTTCCTGCCTTGACTTTAGTTCCTTCATTCATCAGATATTTAGGCACTGGGGGGAAAAAGTCCTTGAACAGAAGACAAAAATCTCCCTTGTGGGGGAGAAAGACTAAAAACAAATGAGTGAATTGTACCTTGTATCAGAAGCTATGGAGAAAAATCTAGCAGGGAAGGGGAATAGGGGATACTGGGGTGGTATTAGAGAAGGTGGCCAGGGGAGACTCGGGGAGGGGACATTTGAGTAAAGATTTGAGGGAGTTGAAGGCATGAGCTATTTGGGTTTCTGGGGGAGAACACTTCAAAAAGATAAACTAGTAGGTGCACAGGCCCTGGTGGTGGGAACATGCCCGCATGCCTGGGGAATAGTGGGGAAACCAGTGTGGCTGGAGCAGAGTTAGCCAGGGCATGGTTAGAGATGAGGTTCCAGAGGTAGGTAATGGCGGCTGCCATACTAAAGGGTCCTTACTACACATCCAGCACAAGCTGGTCACAGGGGGTCATACAATGAGTCAGACTGAGTTCCAGCTCTGGAAGAATTCATGGTCCAGTGGGGAGCAAAGGTGCAGAGATGTTATGGTGCCAGACAGTATGTGATTATGTGTTAGGTGACAGCACTGCTGGAGGTGTTTAGCAACTAGGAGCTAGAGGAGTCAGGAAGGTTCCATGAAGGTGGTGCCTGAGCTGGCCCTGTGGGAAGAGATCAGAAAAGAAGGGAGTAGATGGAGCGAAGGCTCAGGCCTGGGTGTATGGAAGCAAGGACAGAATCCCTGTGAAGGACAGTTTGGAGAGGGGCTTCCTGAAGCATCGGGAGCCAAGGCTGGATGGGTGAGGTGAGCCTGCATATGCAGGGCTTCTTTTCTGGATGGTGTGGTTTAGTCTTAGTGAAATATGGGAGGTGAGCTTACTTGGTGGGGAGGGGCCTACTCTTGGCTTGTGCTCTTCATGTCCCTCTTTTGCCTTTTTATGTGGTGGTTTTGGGCTATTTGGCTAGCACATACTTCTCTCTTCCTTCCTAACACTTTGTTTCCAACGATACCTTCCCTTCCCGTTTGGCCCAAGCTTCTCCGTATTAAGGGAGTAGATTAGTTCATAGAATCGAGTCTGAGGCTTGGAGTTAGGCAGACCTGGGTTCATATCCCATCTTCTGACCACCTGTGTATCCTGGGGCAGATTAATTAACCTTTCAAGCTTGTTCCTTATTTCTAACATGGGACTAGTGATATCTATCTTGCAGGGCTCCAAGAATTGGAAATAGTCTGTATAAAGTACTTGGCGTACAGCAGTCAATGGTGGCAGTTACTGTTGTCATTGTCTGCACTGTATCAGGACTAGCCAAACAACACTGAGAATGCTGTGCACTAAAAATGAAAAATCCCTCTAATAGGAAATAGGTCTGGATATCAGGCTCATCCAACCTAAAGAGGGCCCACTGCTTGGGGAACCTGCTAGAATCTGTTTGTCCCCCATCGCAGTGGCCTGGCACCCAGGAATATTTCTGTATGACCTTAGTGGAGTCTCACAAGAACAGGTATTGATCTTTGGCAGCTGAGGCACAGCTGGCTTCGTGATTTAAACGGAAGCCATAATGTTAGAGACAGAGCCAGGTTAGAGTCCAGATGTGTTGGCTCAGGCACCTGCTCTTACAGGTGGTGTAACTTGCCTCACAGTTTTTTGGCCAAGGTATCTGTGACTTAGATCTCAAGCGCTTGGCTCAGCTGCCAGACTTGTAGGACTCTGTCTGGATTGTGGTTAGGAACCAGATGATAGAGTTGAAGCCTCTACAGCCGATGAGCCTCCTCCTGTCCCTGGGATGACCAGTCTTCATTTGCTTCCATACGGCCGCCTTCTATAAACAGACTTCTCATTCATACTCAGTATTGTCCTCTATAAAGAAGAAGAAGATGCTATGTTCACAAAAGGAGAAGCAGAGGTTAAAGAGGAAAAAGGACCTGTATTTCAGAGCCTTGCTTAGAACCCAGGGAATTCTGTCTTCCCACCCCAGGAAGGTCCAGTCTGCTCTAGATCTGTTGAAGTCCCCCAGCTCTGACTAGCTCTGCTGGAGATCTCAGGGTGTGGCTGACACAGCCCTTCTCCTGTCCCAGCCTCCGCTGACACCATCCCAAAAGAATGAAGCTCACTGTTGCCAGCTGTGTGATGGATAGGGCGTGAGTGTTTATCTGAAGAGGCAAGGCGGGTGGGCTCCCCAAGAGGCAGAGGAGACTCCCTGATAATTGAGGCTTGAAATTAGAAGCAGAATTAGGGACTTGTGAGCCAGCCAGAGTGGGGAAGTCTTGGTATTTCATTTTGTAGCCAAATGACAGTAACTGGTGTGAGCTGTGTGCTGTGTTTTCCTTCAAGTTGAACCAGAAGGATGAGAAGGAAAATGCCGGGTCTACTTATTTCCCTAGCCAACATTTCCCCCAAACCTTTATCAGGGTCTTTCCACTGCCCGAGACCCATTTCCCATGCAGGAAGCAACAACCGTCCTTTCCACCCCTCCTCAGGTGGCCACCTCACACTGCAGCATGTGTCAGGGGAAGGGGGGTTTCTGCACTCAGGCTTACACTATGTGTCCTTGGCAGGCGTGACCAACGGATTTGGAAAACACACCGAAAGCGGGTCTGACTCAGAATGTAGTTTGGGTCTCAGTGGTGGACTGGCATTTGAAGCTTGCAGGTAAGAACAGTTGTTCCCAAAGCTTTGTTGGCAGCTCCTCCACCTGTCCCTGTATTCTCCATTCAGCCACAGATGGAGCCTCCTCCTGCTTATCTAAGGTTTTTCTTCCTCCACCCCTGCTGTTTCCTGAGGCCTCTGGTCAGTAACTCTGGTAGCTCCTAGGAAACAGTGTGACCCTTGACTCACAGGCCTGATCCGACTAGGAGGGGAGGAGTGATGCTGATGCTTTATAGGGTTTGTGAAGCCGAATTTGGCTCCAGAGGGCAGGGACAGCCAAATCTGTATCGCCCAGCGAAGTCAACATTTGAGCCAAGCCCCCACCCGCACCACTGGCCCACTCTGATAACCCAGTTACAGACATAGTTTTGCTCTTTGCCTTTTGGGGCATCATAGCAAAGGCCTCTGTAGAGGTGTGGTGTGGGAGTAAGAAATGGGCAGATAGGAAGTTCAGAATGGCCTTTTATTCAAAGGCCCTAGCTCTTCTACCCTCCTTGAGCTGGGAAAGGATGGGTTTCTTTTCCTGTTCTTTTACCAGAAGGGAGGATTTCTGAGACCAAAATGTTAAAGTTTCTTCCAAGTCGAGTTTATTGAATCCCTACTCTGTGTTAAGTGTACTCTGCAAGAAATCGGGGACTGCGGGACTCTTGGAAATGGGAGACCCTCAGTGCCACAGAGGAGAAACAAGTTGTCCTGAAGGCTAATTACTGGCCCCCCACATGGCTACTGAATGGATCCTCAGTTCCAAGTAGGGGAGGAAAGGTCCCAGGGCAGCAGTGTTTGAAGTGCTTCCAAGGCAGGTTGAGCATTATGTTCTGTCAGGTACTCACTCTACCTGGGCTCCTGGGTGGTGGGTACGGGAGGCCCTTTACTGTGGCATAGCCCAGCTTTCCATGGTTGCTTTGAGATTTTCCTCCCATCAAGCCTCAGAATTGCCTTAGCTGTCTTCCTCCATGGTTTCTAGAGATATAGGGGGAATGAATGGGAAAAACATAGTTACTAGGCATAGAGGAGGCAGAGCTTTTGGAATCCTACAAAATGGTTTCACCCTGGTCCTGGGTGGGAATTCTTAACTCCTTTCAAAGGTAATGGTGCCTGGAAACCCAGTTCATTGGGGTGGGGAAGGAGTGGGGTTATCAAACTGTCCCCTCCTAGCCCTTGACTAAAGGTGGAAGGTGTGTTGGGCTTTTCACGCCACGAAGGACAGTCTTCCCAGCCATGAACCACAAGAAGAAAGCCAGACTAGGCTCTGGTCAGCCTGCTGGTCAGACTGTGTGTTTGCCTTTCTGCAGAACTCCAGTCTGTGCCGCCGATTTGTCTGGAGCCCTGCTCAGTGTGGAAACAATGCCCTTGGAAGGCATTTCCTTTTTAACTCAGTGGACCTCAGTGGAATTTCAGGGTTTAAAACAGGAGATTCAGGACTGCAACTGCAGGATTTTTTTTCTTTTTCTTTCTTTCCTCCCCCTGCCCCACTGTGGTGGTAAGTACATAAAGGAAGATTTTACTTACTAATTAGACTAGAATCCTCTACTCCTAGAATCAGAAAGAGCCTTGAAGGAACCTGTGGTCACTAATCCCATTCCCCTCCCCACCTGTCCCTGGGTTTATCTTTCCTGATGATTTTCTGAGGAAATTGGAGCTGCTTCCTCTTTCTATGGGTCATGCTTTTGGTTATTAATAATTGAGCACCTACTTCAAGCCAGACATTGTTCTAAGTACTGATAAAGGTATGTGTTCTCATGGAGCTTATCTTCTAGAAGGGGGAGATGAGTGTTAAACCAGTAAACAGAATAATTATAGATTGGGTTGTCTGCTTTGGTCTGTGTAATGTGGAAAGAGGACTGAAACACAGGCCATATCAAGTCACGTGTGCTTTTTCTATGAAACAGGAATACATGGACCTAGTTTTGGTGTTGCCTCTTATTTTACTAAGCTCATCTGTCTCAGAGCTCATCATTTGATGGTATAACATTAGTAGTTTATAATATTTAAAGTGAGGCATTAAAATTTACTGCTCTTCATACAATATTTGCCACATAACTATCATCTGCCATTTATTGAGTAGTTGGTATGTGCTGTACTGAGTGTTTTCTGTGTATCAATCTATTAAATCCTCACAGCAGCCTCAGAGAAGGTAGGTAACTTGCTCAACATCATGGAACTCATGAATAGAAGAGACAGGTTCCAGGGGCGCCTGGGTGGCTCAGTAGGTTAAGCGTCAGACTTTCGATGTCAGCTCAGGTCATGATCCCGCGTTTCATGAGATTGAGCCCCACATTGGGCTCTGCACTGACAGCACAGAGCCTGCTTGAGATTCTCTCTCTCCCTCTTCCCCTCCCCTGCTTGCTCTGTGTGCATATGTGTCTCTTTCTCTCTCAAAATAAATAAATAAACATTAACATAAACAAACAGATAAGAGCCAGGTTCTGAACCCAGGTAGTCTGGCTCCAGAGTTTCTCTTTTAAACACTTTGTTGTGCCCTCTTCTGTTATATTTAAAGATGTCTCCCCAGCTCCAGAATAATGAACTTTGAGAGGCCTCAGAGTCTCTAAGCACAGTGACAGATTTTTATAGGATGAGTGGGAACTGAATCCTAAATGTAAACTGGGTGTTAATTTTTTTTTTTCCCCAAACAGGTCCTAATTTTGAATAGCAGAAAAAAAAAACTACCAATCTGCCAGTTACTGAAGGATTATGATTCATTGTGTTCTGTTTGTACAAGTTTTTCTGAATAAGACTGATAAAGTCCGTATGATTTAGGAGAACAGGAGTACCCTACTCCCCAACCAGTCCTAACACCAACCTCCTCTTATCCCACGAGGGGTTTCTTAAGCATTGCAGAAGAGCATGCATACTCTTCTGCAGATTGTTTCCCCACCTTTTAAGCATTTTTTTCTTTAGTGGAAAAATTATATAGCAATGATATTTTTTAAAGTTTGGATGGGAAAAGGCCCTAGCCACTTCATTCTTGCCCAGAGGCTCCCAACTATGGTTGTACATTAGAATTGCTTCGGGAGCTGTTTAAAACTACAGATCCTTGGGTGGGTTCCAGTTATACCATTACTCTGGTATTAATTACCATCCTCATTTTTGCTTTATTACCTTTCTAGTCTTTGTCAAATATATCTATATATTGTTTTACCTCTTTGTAGTAACCACATGGAAAAAACTTGTTCTGCTTGTTCATTAAAAAAAAAAAAAAAAGTCCATCTCTAAGAAAAATTTCATACACAAAGTGGAAGTGAGAAGTGGATTTTTTTTTTAATTAAAAAGTGTCTTTTCTAATTAAGGAGTAAGACGTGTCCTTTATAGACAATTTGGGAAAGAGGCAAATTTTTGTACCTCAAAAGTAAATTGGTTTCTAAAGAAGCCGTAGAAACCACAGGGTAAAAAATTCTGATCCATGTGAGATGGGCCCTCCTCATGGCTAGGCTGCTTAGACCCTGGAAGGATTGACAAGTGCCTGGAGTGACCTTTCATCTGGATGAAGTCCAAAGTCCCTGGGCAGGGAGGCAGGCGTCTCTTTCCGGAGTCCCTCCACCTGCATGAAATGGTCTCTCAAAGCCTCATGGGAATTTTGTGGTCAGAAGGGTGTCATGGGTTAGTGTGAGTTGTTAGGGGAAGGTGAGAAACCATTCTTGTTGAACGGTTTTTGCAGCTCCACTCATCTCAGAGATAGGAGAGCAGGAGTGGGTATGTTAGTCATTGAAATGGCTCATTTCGCCCCCTCTGCCTTCTTGCTCTATATGCAGTGGTCTGACGCCCCCCAAACGCAGCCGTGGGAAGCCAGCCCTATCTCGTGTACCCTTCCTGGAAGGTGTAAATGGAGATTCTGACTACAGCAGCTCAGGTGAGGAGTGGTGTACAGGTGAATCTGGGGGGCCCAGGCCTTCCAAAGAACCAGCTCTGTGGGCTGCAGCCAAACCCTTAATTCTTCCAAACTCTCAGGCATTGGGCAAGGAGATGCCCCCTGCTCACAGGTCATTCATACTCTTTTTTTTTTTTTTTAAGTTCATCTTAAATTTGAATAGTAATATATGCCCATGATAACAAAAATCAAAAAGGCACAGAAGGGTACATAATGAAAAGCCAGGGTCCCCTCCTTAGAACAACCACTGTTAGCAGTTTCTTTTGTGTCTCTCTATTTGTAATTTATATACATAAAAGCCAAAACTTGTGTATATTTAAGAGCATAGGTAGAGAAGCCTAATACACACGTATTCTCCCAAACCATGCCTTTTTTCAATTAATATATCTTGGAGCTCCTTCCGTGCTTTTTATTGACTGCCTAATGTGCCATTATCTAGGAGTGCCAGCCTACTACAGATGGACATGTAGACTGTTTTCATGTATTTGTTATAACCAATGTTGCAGTGAGCAACCTTGTACAAAGATCTTTTGTAGCCCTGGAGAGCATACACTTCTATAGAGAAGCAGAGCTGCTAAACTTGAAGGGAGTGTGTATTTGTCATTTCCATGGGTCTTGCCAGTCTGCCCTTGTTGGAGTAATCAGTGATAGCCTCTATCACTGAATCTCACACCTTGCCGTGTAGGTTCATGTGATCCAGTGCTTTCAGCCCTGTCCTCATGAGAGGACTACTACTAGCCGACCCAAACAGGGAAGTACATGGGTCTTGTCTCTTTGGACCAAGGGATTCAAGAACAGGACAAGGCAGGGCCAAAGGAGAGGGCTGGTTGGTGCACAGGTGGAGTGGGTACAGGGTGGGCTGTTCTCCGAGTGCATCTCTGCAGCCCTCCTGTGGGAGCTGTGCACCCTGGATGCCCGGTCTTCGAAGCTCCCATCTAACACAGGCGTCAGGGCTTCTTTCCCCACTTTCCTTTTCCCAACTGCTTTATTTTCCCTTAGCATCAGTTTCTTTCTCACATGTGTGTTGATGGATGCATGCCTGCGTGTTTCATTGTTGTCTGACTGTTGGCGCCCAGAAAGCAGGGCTCCTATCTACATGAAAGTGTACAGCATCTAGTGCAAAACTGGCAGTGGATTGGCACAAACATTGGAATTCTGGTAGTGACATTTTACTCTTATTTTTAAAAAGCACATACTTATAAAATGATGCCAAGGGAAACTTAAAAATTTCGACCTTCTACTATTCCATCATCACCTTAACACAATTGTCTTCATTTCTCTGTGTTGCCTTCTGTTTATTTCAGGCACGTTTTTAACAAAATGTTAATCCAGAACACACGCTTTTTCGTTTTCTGCATTTTTCAATGTTATCTCATAGTTTTTTTTGTGTTGACACAATCTTGATTTAACTCATATTATTGGAACAATATGTCTTCCAGTCGATGCATTACAATTTACTTAACTTTTTTATTGTTAGATTTTTGGTGATTTCCAACTTTTAATATTATACATAATGTAGTAAATGCATATTTTTGTTAAAAATCCTTTTATTTGTTTTTAAAGTTATTTTTCTTAGAATAATTCCCAGGGAAGGAATTTACTGAAGCAGATGATTCATACTTTTTTTTTTTTTTAATGGCTCTTGAGACATGCCACCAAATTATGTTCTTGAGGATTAGACTGGTCTGCCATTCCTTCCAACAGTGTATGATTGCACCAGTTTCCCCACAGCCAGCCTCTTCAGTATTGGATTTTATCTCTTGGTTATTATTGCTATTGACTCAATGGGTAAAAACAAAACAAAAAAAACCTCATTATTAGTAGTAGTTTTTTTTTTGTTTTGTTTTGTTTTTTTTAATAAATGAGGATAGTAGTATTTCCTTAGTAACACAATTTCCACTATGCAGGATTTGGACCCTTTTCCCTGGTTGAGTGTGGTCACCTTGGGCTTCCGGTTTATAGGCGTGGGAAGGGGGAAGGGAGGTTCCTTTCTGCTCAGGAGCATTTGTGAAGTGTACCCATCCACATATGCTAGTGCATTGTGTGCGAACAAAGTAAGCTGGAGAGATGCGGTGCCTGCTTTAGGCAGGACATCCAGTGTCAGGTTCTGAGAAAAGCAGTCACGTGAAGGGCTTGCAGACCTGCTTGGCTCTGCTGCGTGCCGTGCACCCAGGTGACCTGGATGGCCAGATGTGGCCCTGTCAGAAAAGAACTCATTTAGCAAGTGGTTTTACTGGGATGTCTGTCCCAGGCATCTTTTTCCATGAAGCCTCTATCATGAGGCCCACCACTTAGGCCCAGAGAGCAGTTTGTGGCTTTGCCAAGCTGGGTTATTGTTGTCCTTCCTGGGATCCTGGTGATAAAAGCAGTCCTAGTTTTCTAGGGAACACCATTCTAGTGTTCTAGTCCAGGGGTCGGCAAACTAACATATTAGCTTGTTTTTGTAGGGCTTGCAAGCTAAAAATGGTTTCTACTTACAAATGATTGAAAAGAAAATCAAAAGAATGATATTTTGTAACACATGAAAATTACATGAAATTCAAATTTCAGCATCTAAAAGTAAAATTTTATGGGGACACAGCTATACTCATTCCTCTATAGAGTACCTGTGGCAGCTTTCATGCTGCAACAATAGAGTTGAGTAGTTGCAACAGAGACCATATGGACTGCAAAACCTAAAATAGTTACTGTTTGGCCCTTTACAGAATGAGTTTGCCGACCCCTGATCTAGTCTAAGAACTAAGGAAAGGGCAGGAAAGGGGAAGGGTGGAGGGGATGTTGCTGACTCATTCTTGGGTTGCCCCAGACAAATGGAGGCCACAGGCAGGCCTCCTGGGCACCATTCCAAGTCCCCTTTGGGTGCTGTCTCCTCCCCTCCCCAACCCCCAGGCAGAAGCCTCCTGATGCCCTTTGAAGACCGCGGAGACCTGGAGCCCCTGGAGCTGGTGTGGGCCAAGTGCCGAGGCTATCCCTCCTACCCCGCCTTGGTGAGTCTGCCCCAGACACCACCCTCCTCCCTCCCCTGGGCTGTTCTGGCCCCTATCTTGCCTCAGGAGCTTATCTGATTGGATCAAGCCAGCAGAGGGGTGGGAATCAGGGTGCTTTTAGCTGCAGAGGGGAGGGAGGTTTTAGCCCAGCCTGGGTGGGTCAAACCATCAAGGTCTTCAGCTCAGAGCACTTAAAATAGGGTAAAAGTGTGAAGACAGGGACTAGGGCTCATAGGGATTTAATAGCATTTATTCATTTGCTTATGCATAGAAGTAGTATGCTCATTGTAGAGAATTTTTAAAGCTGCTTATAATGCTTAAGTGTTGTATTAGACATTTGTCTTGCTAAATTCTTGAAATACTGAGGAAGATGTGGTTTTTCTCATTTTGTGGGGAAGAAAAATGAGGATCTATCTGTTCCCTGTGGCCATCTAGCTATTAAATGCCAGGGTTGGAATTTGAGCCCAAGGCTCAAAATGTGTGATGTCAAAGCCTGTGTTCTGAGCCACCAAGTTCAAAATCACCCATGGTCTCATCTATTCAGAGATTACCTCTTGGTGTATATAGGCACTCTTTTTTTTTTAACGCATAAGTACGAGCCCATACTCTGTGTAACCTCCCTTTCACGTAACAGCATACCATGAACATGCATGTCTTGTGCCATTAAACATTCTTCATCAACATTACTTTAATGACTGCATTGTCCTCAGTTGTATGCATGTACCTTATTTTAACCATTCCCTACTTGGTCATTCAGATCGTTTTGAATTTTTCACTATGATTAATAGCTGGCAATAAACATCACTGTAGCTTTACTCTGTGCACATCATGATGATTTCCATACAGTGAATTCTTAGGCGTGCCTTCTTGGAGCAAGGTCTGTGCAAAATTGATACACATTGCCAAGTTGCCCTTTAGAAAGTTAGTTCCAATTTATACTCCCATCAGCAGTAGCTAAAAAATTCTATTTTTACCACCTTGATTGTTATTTGTTAGAGCTCTTTCTGTATTGGGGAGGTAATGTCCATCTGGCACTGGAAGCTAGTGATTCTAAACCTTTAGGGCATGCCAGAATCATGGGGGAGTTTTTAAAACAATACAGATAACTGAGGCCCCACTTCAGAACTATGAAATTAGACTGACACCAGGCCGAGGTATGAATGTTTTCTATAAAGCTTCTCAGATGATCCGTAGCCACGGTTGTGAACTACCCTGCCAACCTCTTGCATGCACACAGGAGTTCTGGGCTTCTCTTAGCTCTTTCACATCAATGGGTCTTTCAAGTCTCATAGCAGCCCCTTAAAGTCAAGAGGGCAGGAACTCTGACCGTTTTGGACTGGTGAGGAAGCTACAGCTGTAAGAGGTTATACAACTTGCAGGAGCCATATTGGAACCATGTTGCCTACCTCACTCCCTCTTCAACAGTGGCAGGAGGGGGAATCCATGCTGTGATCCAGCAGTTGAGGAGGTTGGGCCTTGGGCCTGACTTCACAAGGCTGTGTGCCCTGTTGTCAGTGAGACTTCCAGCATAATTGTTGAGGAAGTGATTAAAGCTGTACAGGTTTGGTTTTGTGATTTTAAGTCCCATGGTGCAAAAAAAAAGTCTAAAAATAGTCTTTTTTTTTCCTTTTTAATTATCTTCTTAATCATACATTTTCTTTAACGAGTAAATAAATTCAGCCACCACCTGAAAAAACCTACCACCTGAATGCAAGCTGTGTTTTTATTTTGGTTTATGCTCTCCCAGTTGTTCTCCTGTGTTAAATATGACTCGTGTCCATAATGAATATACATTTAAAAAAAATTTTTTTGGCTCTTGTTTAAAATTGTTTTTTCTCGTAAAATAATGTATCTGTATTATAGAAGTTTGGGAAAAAATAGAGAAAAGCAACAAACCCCATCATTCTAGCAAGTCAGCTATAAGCGTTTTGTATTGTTTCTTCTATTTGTTTATGTATTACAGCTATAATAATAGTATGTATATATGCCTTCATTATATAATGTGTTAAAATATTTCATAAGCCACATTGTTTTACATCCACATAACATTTGAGTGAATGGTCCATTATTTATTATTTTGAGACATATTTGCATCTATCTTCTTTAGAAAGGGAGAAGAGCTCTCCTTGCTTCTGCCCTTGGTGGCAGGGGGTGGGGGGTACATTTTTCACAATCTGCCCCATGTTCCAAGGCAGGAACCAGCATGGCTGTCGAGGAAACATACCAGAGTGGCCCCACTATCTTGTTCAATAATCTTGTTCAATAATCGAGGAAGCTCAGGAGGGCTTGTATGGTGGTTCTCATTAGGACCCTTAGCTTTAATCCCGGGGGGAACATACAAGCTGGGAGAGTTTTGACCAAATTACACAGCTCGAACAGGGTAGGGATGGTTCTTCCTTAAAACTCTTAACCAGAGCACCTGCTTTTAGCTGCTTATCTAGGAAGGGAAGTAGGGAAGCTGGCAGACACCCAAAGGTAAACAGCGAGAGCAGTTTATTATGAGAACAGGCCCCCTGGGACAGAGTATAGAAATTAAGATTGTTCCATCTCTGGAGAAAGCTGCTTCCTCAGTAAGTTTCCAAGTCTCTCTGGCCTCAACACACATAGATTATCAACTCACTGCTTTGGAAATGAGGGCTGTGTAGGGCAGTAGGCAGCAGAAGTTTAAGCCACCATGGCCACAGCCAGCTACATGCTCCTGTGCTCGGGGCTTTCCTCTGTCAGGTGATACCTGTCAGCAGACTTCTCAGCATCGGCAAGAAGGTGAAATAAGATGATGGATGACGTGTGAATAACTAGGATCTTCAGTCACTCTGTCAGTGCTTCATAGAGCTAGAGGTCACTGTTGTGTTGATGCCACCAGGCATTTTTTGAGCCCCTGCCCTGTAGAGCTTGCAGTCTTGAGCATTAATTCCTCCAGTGGTCCTTCTTTCCAGCCACATCGTTCATTTTCCCCTCTCCATCAACCCTTCGAGTTCAGTCTAAAAGCTTTCTGATCTTAGATGGAGGTGCCCACAAAGGTACCTAGTCCACACAGCAGGAAGATTATGGTCAGACAGGAAGGTAGTGGGTAACCAGCGGCTCTGTTAGGTAGAACCAAGGTGATGGGCCCTGCTGCTGATGCAGAACCTCCTTTATAGCCATGGTGTTTAGGAAAGTCCCTGAGCCTTTGAAGTGAATTGCAAAGGTTTTAAAGGAAAAATTGACAGGAAGAAATGGCCTCCTGGCCTCCATTTCCTTCCCCTAAGGGATGTTAGGAAGGTGGAATTTGCCAGTCTGGCCTGGACATCATAGATACACCCTCAATTCTGATATCTCCCATACTGGATTCACATTTCTTCTGTTTCCACTTGGGCCCCAAGGGTTCATGGCACAAGCTCCCTCATTGGAAGAACTGATTGAGCAGGGCTGAAGGATTTGGCCAATGAACTGGGAAAACAGTCAAGATTTCCATTTTGGGGTCCTGAGGGTCACAAGAGGTCAGCCCCCTTCATCACTTGGTTGTGGGCCTGGCCAAGGCCCTGCATAACTTGGGGGGTAGTTCAGTAGGTAGTCCTGGGGCAGCATGCCCTGCTCACCCCATCCACCCCCATCTGAGTACCGTCTCCTTTCCTGTCTGTAGATCATCGATCCCAAGATGCCCCGGGAGGGCCTCCTGCACAATGGTGTTCCCATCCCTGTCCCCCCTCTGGATGTGCTGAAGCTGGGAGAGCAGAAACAGGCCGAGGCTGGAGAGAAGCTCTTCCTTGTCCTCTTCTTTGACAACAAGCGCACCTGGTGAGTGGGTACTACCACCTGGAGGTTGGGCCAGGATGAGAGCTAAGGGGCCTGCCATGCAGTACACAGAGGGGCTGTGGGCTCAGTTAACCTGCCTCCCTCCAGACAAGATGAGGCATTACCAGCAGCTGGCCTGCCCCAGCCACATTAATAGTTACTGAGGAGTGTGGCCGGTCAGATTCCCTGGGAAACATTCTGAGATGGATATTTCTATCAGGAGGCTTATTGAGGAGAGCTGTGGGGATGAAGGGTGCAGTGCTGGGTGGAGGAACATGTTGAACACTTGGTATAGAGGCCTCAGCTGATCCTAAGGGGAGCTCCGGAGCTGGGAGGCTTGTTAATGATGTCCAGAATTGGGGCTGTGCGTGGGCATGTCCTCCCATGGCAACTAGTCATTGAATGCTGGCTGGCTGCCCCTGGGAAGGGGGTCACCTTGGTCCAGGTAACTCCCCTGGTGGTGGGTGATTCCTGAAGAGGACTCAGCTGAGAGCTAGTCAGCAGCCAACGCTCCCAGTGGCTGTGGGAGTGCACGTCTTAGTCCTCAGGTGGGGGGATGGGGTGGAGGGTGGTTTGGGGCAGTGTGGGGTCCACTACAAAGGGCTTGCTTGCCCTTTAAGGTTTCTCTTAGAGTTCTTTCACTTCTGCTTTTATAGAATGAGGAGGTAGGACTAACAAGTAAAAATAATAGCTATCACTTATTGTTTACTCCGTGCCCTGATGCAAATCGATTTACATACATAACCTTATTTAATCCTCATTAAATCTTCATCAGTCCTCTCCCAATCCATTTTGCAGATGAGGAAGCTGAGGCTCAGAAAGCAAAGACCCCATTGCCAGACCTGGGATACAAGCCAAGATCTGGCTCAGGCTAGCTTTTAGCCACACGTTAGATTCAGCTGGCGATCTTTAGAAAAACACACCTGGTGCAGGCCCCATCAGGAATCACTGGTTCCTGGCATCAGCCCCACTTCCTAGCCATAGCTCCCTGATGCCCCAAGGCAAGAGCTAGCCCTAATATGGGTCTTTCTTAGCTCCTGGGTCCTAACAGCCCTCTAAAGCAGAGTGAGTGCCCTGAGGCTCAGGGAAGGGCCTGGCTGCAAAAAAGGTCCCTTGGTGGCCTCCTGCCTGGGGTGTCCCAGTCTGTCTCCTCCTGCCCTGTCCCCTCCCCCTGGCTTTGCTTGTCCTGGGCAGATGGGCCCAGAGGAGCCCCTTCATGCCACCCACCTCAGCCCAGGCTTCTTACTGTGCTTGTATTTTAGGCAGTGGCTTCCAAGGGACAAAGTGCTACCACTGGGTGTGGAAGACACCGTGGACAAGCTCAAGATGCTGGAAGGCCGCAAGACCAGCATCCGAAAGTCGGTGCAAGTGGCCTACGACCGTGCAATGATCCACTTGAGCCGGGTCCGGGGGCCCCACTCCTTTGTCACCTCCAGCTACCTGTAAGGGTGGGTCCTGGCTTGTGTCTGCCTGCCCTGCCTCTGTCCCATGCAGCACAGAGGCCCCTTCCTGCCCCAGCCAGTCATATGGCCGGCAGCTTCCCCCTTCCATGGCAGGCCAGGGACTGGGCCGTGTCCTCCCCATGGGCAAGGCCCCAGTTTTGACCAACTGTATGGTTCCCCTGGTGGGCCTGCTGTGTGCCAAAAACTCCCACCTGAGCTCGCTCGGGGGGGCTAGTCCACTGACGAACCTGTTAGAAGTAGAAATAGCTGTGAGGCTTGGGCCCGGCCGAGGAGATGGACCTGAGCCCAGAAGGCAAGAGGTCCTAGGCTCTTTCTCAAAGGTGTGCCTGGCCCGCTCCTTCCCACTCCCAGCTAACTACACCTCAGGGCAAGCGAGGCTCTGACATTGACCCCAGAGGTGCTGTGGATACATGGGAGTCCCGCAGGGAAGCTCACGGAGCTCACCCTCTCTCCCCTCTGTCACCCATTCTCATACCTCTTCCCTGTCCCATCTTCTGCACCAGTGCCGTCTCTCTTTTCCCATGTTCCTTTCCTTTCTTTTGTGCCAAACAGAAACCATCACCAAACTGGTCTTTTTCTTTTTATGTCTCATTCCCTTTGAGGCCAGCTGCTATGCTAGGTGGGTCCCTCCACCTGGCTCCTTAGGGCCCAGGACAGAGGCCAGCCTACCACTCGGGTGACCCCTCCACCAGCACACACACCCCTTCCCCATCTGCTGCAGACACACAGCTGAGGCCAGGCTGTGAAAGCTTGCCCCCTCCCTGTCTTGCTGAGAGGCGGGCCGAGGCTTGACGGGCTCCCGTCAGACCAGGCTGGTTGTGGGAGTGTCCGTCTGTCCACTTGGATGTTGAGGGGTGTTGACTGAAGCTGTGCTCTTCAGCTGGGTCTGCTCCTCACCCCTGCTGTCCTCTCTCTGTGGGCCTCCCTCTCCACCACCATGGACGGTGGTGCCTGCGGTCCAGCACCTCCCTGCCTGCGCTCTGCCCAGCCCAGCCTCTGCTGCTCCCGCTCCCAAACTCCGGGGGACACCACACTTATTTCACGCCCTCTGTCCCCTTCCCTCTCCACCTTTCAACCCCCTCCTCACCTTCACCTTCTCAAAAATGGAAGGAAAAAAACTGTGAAATGGGAAATGCTGACTGACAAACCAACACAACTTTCAGAGGCTTTGAGTCTGTTCTCTGGATGTTTCTTTTCACCTCTTAAGCACCAAAGCCGCAGGGCCAGGTTGCAGGCCACTGATCGCCATGTTGATTTTTAACCTGACGTTCTTTTTAATTGTTTTAAATTTTTCATAGGGGAGTTTTGGACAAAAAAAAAGTCACTGGGGAGATCACTGCCATTTTTACACACTCGACTTTTTAAAAATACAACCAACCAACCACCACAACTTCTTATACATTTGGGACACGAGCCAGAGTTTAAAAGGGAACCAACAAAACTCTCTATAACATAAAGGATGGGGTTTTGGATTTTGTACAATAATAAAAATACAATACAGCATATGGCTAGGGAAGGACATGGTGTATATAATTGTAAAATACTGTTCTAAATTATTCAGGCCTATAGTTTCCATTACTGGAGTCCTCCATTGTGTGGCTGAGTATTTTAAATGCACACAGTGTGGTTTATTTAAAGGAGCCAATGCGTCCCCCTCTCCCCAGGTAGTCGGTCAGCTGTGGACTCTGTGACCTTTGTCTCAACCTGTGTTGTAAGATCTCGGGGCTCTCTCTCTCTCTCTATGTGTCTCTTCCCCCCAACACTTTCTCTTTCTAGTCTCTCTTTTTTTTCAATCTCCTTGACTCTTTCAGTCTCTTTCTGAGTCTCATCTTTAAAACTGCTCTTTTAGAACGGGAAGCGGCTCAGATCCTGCTGTGGCATGGGGCCTACGTGTCTCAGTCGCGTCTGCTGTGAAGCACACGATGCTCTATTTATTGTAGAAAGTGACTTTATTTGCTTTCTAGAATTGTTTATAACAGATGGTATAAGAGAGGTAATAAACAGAGAAAAATCTATGCTTGTAAAGAATACAAAAGTTAATTTTACCTACTATAATATGACTGTCTGAAACTTATTTTCTCTCTGAGAAATAAATGTTCTAATGGGCAGCAGTTGCTGTGCTGTGTTTGGTGTCATCAGTGGGGGCATGCGCTTCTCTTCCAAATTCCCATAGCCCACCCCCACCTCAAAAGGCAGGAGCCATTCAGAATGGGTTGTCTAGCCATTGCAGACTGCCAGCTGGAAAGGGCTCTGTCCATCTCTTGGACGCCTGGGAGGGGTGTGAAGATGGGCTCTGACGTTTTCCTCTCCCAAACAGCACCACCCTCTGGGTCCTGTAGAAGGTCCAGCCTGTCTTCTTATGCCTCAGATTTCCTGTGGCCCTGTTCCTTTGGGAGCATCTGTTCCTCATGCAGTTGGAGAAGTAGCCCCTTGTGTCTGGCACCTGTTTACCCAGCTTGCTGAATTTGAGACTCGAGGGTGCCCACGCCTCCTTTGTAATTATTGCTGTCCCCATTCTGTAGGTAGGTAGCTGGGACACACAGGCGTTAACATGGGCCTCGCTCCTTTTGGAATTGGAAGGGATCCTGGTGCCTACCTGGTCTTCATTTTGCAGATGAGAAAACAGACCATCACGATCAACAGGCTTGTCCAAGGACATCTGGCCAAGAAATGGTGGCAGAATCCTGGGACAAGGATCTGGGCGGGGGTTTCTTGTGGGCTCCACGGCATTTCAAGGCTGTGCTGGCCTGTTCTGTACCAGCTCCCCTCTCACCAGCTATGGTTCCAGCATTTCTGGAGAGGGGCATCTTGAAGAGTAGAGAGAGTTCCCAGGGACTCAATACTTGGTCACTGGGCCTTGGGATAGCTTTTCCCCATCCCCTCCTCTGTCCTATCTCTGCTCCTGCCTGGCTCATGTGCTTGGCTGTGAGTTACATCTCACAGCCGTGTGACTGAAGGATAAGGGTCTTCTGATCACCTCCACAAGCTCCTTCAAAATTCTTGTCTTTGAAGTTGCTAGGGGGTAAAAGTGCTCAATTTGGTATAACGTTGACAGGGTACCTCTAGTGTGCTGATAACTCTTGAATTGCGCGTTGTGGGTGTGGAGATGCGCCCCTCTGGCCCCCGGGATGCTCACAACCTGATTTATGAGACCTGTCAGGGCAACTCTGAACGTGGCGGGTGTGGAGCTCCCCCCCCGAGGGGAGGAGTTTGGGAGACTCCTCCAACCAAACTCATGTTTGGTTGAATCACAAAAGCTTTCAGAAGAATAAAGCAATTAATTCAAGCCTTAAAAAAATGGGATTGAAAATCCCTCTTTGTAAATTTGTATTCTGAACTACAAAGGCAATATTTAGAAAGATGTGAAAAAGCTCATCCTATGAGCCCTGACTTAACAGAGGACCCTGAGGCCAGGGCGAGGCATGGTAAGTAGCATCCGTTGAAGCATTTGATTGGGGAAGGGACAGGACCAGAACTTGGCAACTAGTGAACGAGATGTCAGAGGCCAAAAGCAGAAGTGGGAAGACAAGGTTGCCGCATGGCCGGAGGCATCAGCAGTGAGTTTGAAGGGGAGGAAGGAGAGCTAAGTTTTGAGGAGCTTGTATTGCCTGCAGGATATCTGGGAAAAAACCCCAGCAAGCAGACGGGACTGGGCAGTTCAAGAGGAAGGTAGGAGCAGATGACAGAAATGTGGAGGCACGGGAGCACACCAGGGCAGTTAGGACAATGGCCAAGGAGGGAAAGGACAGACCTGAGGAAAGCCCCTTATATTTGGAGGCTGGGATTGGGGAAGAAAAGAGGAAAACAGTGCCTTCAGAGGGGTCTGCTCCCTGGGGAGGGCCTCACACAGAGGCAGTCAAGCCCTAGGGATCAGCTAGACCCACTCACCCCTCATTTCACAGAAAGAGGCAGGTCACATGCACTCAGCCTCACAGAGCAGGAAAAGGCAGCGCTGGACCAGAAAGAACCCAGAAACCAGCACTTTCTACTCTCCACCAGCCCGTGTATTCAGAGCCCTCAAGGTGAGCAGAAGTGTCCTTCATGAGTCTGATCAATCCTGTGATTAAAAGTCATGGACCCAAGTCTAAAATATTATGATACTGGAGCATGTGGGGGTACTGAGTAGGAATACAAAATCCCGTTTTCCTAATGAGTTTTAAAATATAATTAAAAACATTTGCTTAACCCTGTCAGCTTGGCCACTTCCTTTAATATATTGTCATTAACACTTGAGTGTGAATTTGCCTTCCAGATGGACTCTCCCCGCCTGACTAAGGCTGTGAGCTTTGACTCTTGAGAGGAGAGGGGTGAGTGATCAGACTGCCAGGCTCTGGGGGGGGGATACTGAGGGGAGATAGAGGGTGAGGCCTTGACTACCCCTGTGTCTGCAGGCCCCTCCACACCCCCCAGGCACTTGGGGGTGCCCTTCTGCTTGCCTTTTCCCTTCAAGGGTAGCAGAGGGCTCTAGGGATGGAAAGAAAAGATGTGCGTGTGTGTGTTTTCCACCATTTTAATATTCTTTTTGTTTTTTTTAAAATATGTATTTATTTTGGGGAGAGCACAAGTGGGGGAGGGGCGGAGGGAAGACAGAGGATCCGAAGCGGGCTCTGCGCTAACAGGCCGACAACAGCGAGCCCAGTGTGGGGCTCAAACTCACGAACTGCAAGATCATGACCTGAGCTGAAGTCAGACGCTCAACCGATTGACCCATCCAGGCACTCCAACAGTTTTAATATTTTTGAGAGGGCCAAGACTCCGGCTACGCAGAGTAGAAAAATCTAATCGTCCCCAAATTTCAGAAGGGTTGTTGTCTTTCAGAGAACATTGTGTCCTTTGCCTGGCCCCGGGTTTGGAAGTGGCTGAATTGAGTCTAACTGCTTTCTCCTGTGGCAGTGTGTGAATTCCTTCCTCTTCCTTCCAGCTTTGCATAGGATCCTTTGGGGGACAAAGAGGCAGTATTGGCAATGCAACACTGTTGGCTCC